ACCTTCTAACAGTTCATTTTCTTTGTTAAGGAAGGTAGTTAACACTTTCCTTTAGAGATTGTGATGTGTGGCACAGGGGAAGCAGGCATTATATTCCCCTCCTTACAGATGGGGACACTGTAGAAGAAAGAGCCAGAAGCTACATCTGTACAGATAAACTAAACAGGGTTCCAGCATAATACTAAACCTCAATCTTTTATAGTAAAGGACAGGAAGGTTTCAAACCTATGTCATTCACGTTTCAGGAGTCGCCACAGGCTTTGATCCATTAGTCAGGAGATCTTGCATGTTCTGACATTTAAGAGAATCAAAAACTAAAGATATAGTTTATTATAGTTGGCTACCTTGGCAGAAAATGATCCTGGTAGCTTTAACTTTATACTGAGTCTATAGCCCAGGTAATGTTCCCAACATCATCACCAGATGAGTGGTACCAAGGCAAGAAAAAGGCAAGGCAAAGCAAATGTCTTCTGAATCTCAGCCTAACACACTTTCTGTGTGAACACAACTCACTTTTTGCTTTATAATTTTAAGTATTCACTCTCAGATACTAGGTGAAGAATACTGCAATACATTTTAAACTCTATTTTTACCTAAATGTTGTTTTCATGGTATTTAAAAGACATTAATTTCATCTATGGAAAAAGACTTTTTGATCCTACTGAAAGCTTCAGCTTATCCAGAATAAGTAAAGCCCAAAAGAACTTGAACAAAGAGTCCAAATAGTTTAAAAACAGAATAAACATTTTTTAGAATGATTGGTGAAAATTTTTATTAAAGGTATATGGATCAGGCAGGTTCAATAGCTGTTAAACTTTGGCAGAGTTTTGTCCAATGCTGATATTTAACACATAATTGGGCTTTAAGATCTAGATCTGGCTCTGGAAATGGGCTGGTTTAAATATGAAGTGAGGGTAGAATACAGAAATAGGACTGTTTGCCTGGGTTTTTTTTTTAAATATACATAGACCTATTCAGTTACACTGAGATGATTACAGGAGCTAAAGGCTTACTGCTTTTTTAGAGTAACAGATGGTACTGTTGAAATTTTTGCTGTGTTAAAATATTTCACTTACTTTCTTGATTAATAAATAATATTTACAGTAGTATTTGAATTAGGCCATGCCTGTTAATTTTGTTGTTCATAAATATAAAGTCTATTAAAAAAGGGGACTTAGGGCACTTTTTTTCCCTCCTCTTGGTTGTTAATTGTAAATGCTTATGACATATAATATTCTTATGGTGCCGTTGTTATTCTTTCAGTGCTCAAGGCACTATGATTTCTTTCATAGTGGGGGATACAGTATTTATTGTTTTTATTTATAGTTAACAGCATCTGACTCTGTCATATATATTTTTCTAAGCTTCTCTGCTCTTGAGTCATCAAAATCACCCAGGGAGAGATTTACAGTAAATCAGAGCAGACGCTTTCTGTACTTGCCTTTCCCCTCTAACTGAGTTGTGTAAGTCTTATTTAAATGTGCTTCTGGAGGTAATTTTAGTGTAGGTATATTTAGTTCCTTTTATATTTTCAGCAATCTTGATAAAATAAAAGATCCCTCATGCACAATAAACTTGTGTATTCAGAAGTGAAGTGTAGCACTTAAAGTTGCCCCTGTTGCCCTGGTTTGGAGGATATTATAGGTTACTTATTCGCTTAAGTCCAAAGAGAGCCTGAGCCAATCTGCTAAGGTCATAAATTAGAAATGCTGTTGGCCAAATAAATAAGGACTTACACCTTCACCTTCAGCGAAATGACTCCAGTTTCACAGTAGAAAGAAGATGGACAGACTTTGGCTGCCTAACTCAATGTTTTTTCTTAACTGAGTATATCAGTGCTCTAGTTACAGCTTTAAGGATTTTTTGGAAGACATGAATGTGAGGCAGGAAAGTTCAAGATCAATTTACAGCAGTGACATGTTTTCTTACCCTATGTTTCACTGAGCAGATGGGAAGAGCTTGGGGAGGGCATGAAGTTCAGTCATGTCTGGATAAAAGCATTAACTGCAAAATCGTTACAGATTCTCAGCACGTTCTGTAAGTAGCCTTTTTCTTTCACACATGATTTTGAAATGGAAGGATAATATATCTCAGGATATAATGCTGAGAAATATGAGTTTAATTTTTATTTGCATATAAGAAGGAGACTAAAATAATGCATCTATGGGGAAAACAGTATTTTTGGGTTATTTTCCTACAGTTGTGAATTGATGTATAACTTCAGAAATCGCTGTAGTTCCCCAGATGGGAGTTAGGTGGAAGTTAAGCACTATAAGTCAGCTTTACCATCCTTAAACCTCAACTCAGATGACTTACTCTTCTGGAAGCACTTGAACTATAGAAGTGACATGGTTTTCAGCACTAGGGTTCCTCACATACCTGAAGTCTTGCTTTGTCTGTCCAAGAGTCTTCAAGTTTTAACAAGGCTAGACAAGTTTGTATAGCTTTGGGCTGGCTTGGACCTATAATTTAGATGCAACATTACCAGGAAACTTGAACAAGTTCTATCCAGCAGGCATGCTGTGAGGACACTTACAAAAATTTCAGTCACACTTGCCGTTTTTGTAAGAGTATGTGTTTCAATGCATTCCTTTTATACAGAAGGGTCAGTGGTTCGAGCATAAGTTTCAGACCCAGAGGACCTGGGCTTCAGTTGCACTCTGTCTGAAATAACTCAGAGCCACTTTTCCTATAATTTGCCCTAAATAGGAAGCAATTGTCTATGTGTGGCCTGGGACAGTCAAAATCTATGGTAAATCCTATTTTAACAACTATTTGAACTCATTTTAAAGCAATTTCACTATGGGGAAACCTACTAAACCTACTAAAATAGGCATTGTACTACAGCAAAAAGAAGAAGAAAAAAAAGAAAGAGTGAGAGGAAGAGAGAAGGAGAGAAGGCTCACCAACTCTGTGGTTAAAAACCTTATTTCATAGATGGTGTTGGAAAGTTCTAGGTTCCACCTCTTGCTCTAAGGCCCTAAACCCTGACACATCTTAGAAAAAATATAAATGGAGCATGTTTAATTTATCTGTGAAATTTAAACACAACTTGAGGGAGGTTTCTTTTCTCTGCTAGTTTAGATTAGCTGTTTTTCCATGTTGTAGCATTATAGCTCTTGGCTCAGAATGCTGGTTATTATGGATCATCTTGTAAGGTTCTTTCCTATCTCCAACTGCTGTTTGCAAAGGTGTCTAAACATTACGGTGTTCAGTGCTGTGATATCCTGGTGCTTCCTTAATATTGTTGTTAGTCTGCATGTTTGTTTTCCCCATCTGACATCACTACCCGTAATGATGAGGGGTCAGTCTCACCATATTTCTCCAGGAACAGTGTTAGAAAATACAGCTTTTATACCCCTTCAGGTAATGTTAAACATTTATCTGCAAAATATGTGGAGATATCTTAGATTTTCTGGGAAAGCTACTAAACCAAAAAATAATACCTATTTAGCAAAACAAACAGGTAATTTCTGGCCAGCATTACAAAGCAGAAACTGCAATATCGGAAGACATAGGTGCTCATAGAGTTCATGGAAGTCTTCAGAATTTAGGCTAGTTAGTCAAATTCAACTTCGAGGGCAGAGCTCTGATTATTTCATGGACTGGACTATAAAATTAAGCTGAAATTACTGTATGCTGAGAAGGGACCCTGGTTGTTTGTTGCAATTGAGAATATTTTGGGATGGAATTATGACAATGTTTACCCAATTTAAGAAAGAAAAGAAGTTGTACAAAGCACTATTTATGTGCTTCTCACGCAGGTGTAACACACCAAGAAAGCAAATCTGCTGCTCTGCTTGTAACATGTATGCAGAAAGAGGACAGCCTCCACCTGTGTATCTATTGAAGTTCAGATCATGCCTCATTGAAAATAGAGCTGCATTTGGTTTCCATGGGGTGGAAGAAAGTTAGTATTTGAGCAATTCGCCACCTAATTTGTCACTAATCACTGATAAATAAGTTAAGTAATTTACACCCTGACTACAAAATGAAATATGCAACAGTGATAGTAGGCAAAAGACCTTAAGACTTTTTAAGATAAATTCACAGAGAACTCCTGCATAATTGCAGTGTTCAAGTACAACAGTTGAGTTTCTTGTATACCATTCTCCTGGACTGAAGTAATACCTCATGGACTTAAAAACTCTTTACAAACACCACTGTGTTTATTTAGTTAAGGTTTACAATATGAGCTAAATATTTGTTTGAGGGTAGAAAGCAAAGGAATCTCTTGGATGGAGGTTAGAGAAGCCATGAAGCCAGAGATGTGAGAGGGACTGATGGTTACAGAGGTGTTTGAATGTCTAATCAAAGAGAAATATTCCTTTCCTGAACTATGCTTCCTCTTCAATACCACTTCACCTTTGGGATAAAGAAGAAAGATGAGGTACAGAAAAAACCCTACTGTTAATATTATGTGTATCAGATAATGGTTTAAAGAGACTATCCTCTCAGATTTATTTGGTGAGTAAAAGAGTATAAAATTATTAGGACTCGGAGCATAGCTTTTCTAGTCCACCATTATAAGCTTGGCAGCAAAAACATCAGGCCAAAAGCTGGTGAATGTTCAAGATCAAGAAGAATAGAGAAGAGAGAGAAGAGAGGGAAGAGAGGAATGAGGCACAGATGAGGAAGGGGCATGCAGCTGCCTGGCCCAGCAGTAGGGGAAAGCAGAAGACAACACTTCGCAAAAAACCTGACACAAATTTGTTTTGTCAGATGTGCCTCTGTAGCAGGAATCAAAGGAGTTCAAGTGCTTCAACTTTCTTCTCCTTGATGTACTGAGCCTCTCTCCCTTTTTGCACACTACTTTCCAGGGCCACTCCAAAAGGTGAGCCCTTTGTTTTGGGAGCTCCACTGACTGTAAGATCCTACTGCTCATAAACTGCTGTACTAATCCAACACATACTGCTGGCTCGAGTGCACATATATTAATCTTGCTAGAAACCTTTGTTTTAAAGAAAGAAAAAAGGAAAAGAACAAAAAATCAAGCAAACCTCAGTGGTTATATTCCAGCTGCTGAGCTTCCAGAAAAATTCCTAGCACACGTTCGTGTTTTAACTTTTATTTCAAGATTTACTGTGAAGAGGGGACATAAACTGAGTGAATGTGGATGAAACTCCATCTTTTCTAATAAGTTACGTATGTTTACATGGGTGCTTGAACTACCCTATGCCACGATATGATTAGTTTGACAGGAAATAAACAGGTAGATAGATATCTCTCTTGCTAGTTGAAATGTGATTTCTCTCTTCCCAGTACTGTTTAATACTGTGAAATATTAAAAGGAAGGTAAATACAAAGCAGACATTTCTGACCTCTGCCTAGTGCTGTTCTTTATTAGTAATCTGATGATTGACTTAAATTACTTTGAGGCTCTTCACCCTAATGACAGAAGCAATACAGACGCACATTGACATGAATTGGTCCCAAGGTGTTTCCTGAACTTAGTGAACTTGTCCAAAGGAAGAGCAGCAGAAGGTATTCAACCTGTTTGGCTCATCTGTTTTCAGCTGATGTCTGAGAGACTTGGGAAGATTTTCCTCAGTTCTGTCTCTAAGGACAAGGAATAAAGAGAATAGAAGAGAATCTTTTACTCAGCGTTTAGCAGCAGTTCCTAGAGTAGTGGGTAGTAAGATATATTCTCCTTTGAACAGATTTCCAATAAATCTGGAAAGGCGCAGGGGGTAGAAGAGATCAATGAACCATGCTGAGTTACAGAATGACCTTACAGCCCACAGGAAGAAGATCTCATTGGTGTTTATTTTTAGATGACAACTGTGTTGAACTGACTTTTCTTTTTTGGCAAAGGCACTAAGAACATAAGTGGTATAAATAACACCTATGATAATTTTGAATACAGCAGAAAGGAATCCGGTGAGGCATCCAGCCTCCTGTTAATATACACACAGAACCCCAGTAAACATAATTGTAAATTTTAACCATGCAGTGGTAAAAGAATAAATCTTATGCCAATTAATGACACTACTGGCTATTTTGCGTAAGGTTACTAGCAAAATCTTGCCTCATGAACAAGATTTATGCACAAGTTTGGAGAGAGCTGCGAAAATAAAACGGGTGTAGCAGCAGCTGGCAGTGACATAGGTTTTCACTGAGTCTTCAGAAATACAATGAAAAGCAGAGATAGTTTAAGAAGAGATTGTCAAATAAATGGAAAGGAATGAAAGAAGAGATACAGAGTAAACTCTCCAGTCACATTTTAACATTATTTATTTTCTTATTTATTTAGGCAATTCATTTTTGAGGAAAAATTATGGATGACAAGATTTACTCTCTCAGAGCACAGACTGCTTTTTGTTTGTGTGAGTACAGTGAAAAGTCCACCTTAATTTTGGCTAAACAAGAAGCAACATCTTGACAGTATAATTTCCATAATGTCTGGTTTTATTAATTTCTGTTCTTGAAACCTCAGCACAGACTCAGACTCAGGAGTCTTTTTTTGTTGTTGTTGTTATTAACTGGAATCTTAGTTTTCACTAAGTGGCAATGAAGTAACAAGTGCTAATGCTTGCAGATACCATGTTGAAAATGTGTTCTCATCTCACTTCATTTTAGGGGGAAGAAAAAGTGACAAAAATGCTTCCTAAACTCTTATTTATTCTTTATTACTGTTTATAATTTAGCTATGCGTATAACGTTTTTACTGTTATTCTGATATATCATGATGTATGCCTGTTTCTCTGCCAGGGATTATTGATGCTTTCAGTTACAGCACTGTACTTTTCCATGTTTAGTATATTCCATTGTAATAGGTATCTTAAAATCAGAGTGTCTTGGCTATATATTGAGTGTTGTGATGGAGATGAAGAAAGGAGGAATAGCTGCCAATATGAATACAGATATCTGAGCACAGACTAAGCAGGGACATTAATACTGCACTCCTTAAGGGGAGCAAGGACAGCTCAGGCACAGCAGGAACAGCTGCTGTTAACATGGCTGGTAACTGAAATGCTGCCTCTTGAGAGGGAGGAAATGCTGTAGCTTTCTGTGTTTTCACTCTGGTATACTTGGATTTAGGCATGGATTTTCCATGACTAGCATATTTGATCCCCAATGCATTTCCAAACTTTTTTTGGTTGAAGTGAGCATCCATGGGAGCTCAGGGGGCCTTTCCTTGAAGATTTTCTTTTTACGTATCCCATTTTATTGATTTATCCCACAAGGGAAAAATTAACTTTGTAAAAGAGATGGAGGGGACTTCCTCCCTTCATTTTCAAAATTAATCTGAGAAACAGAAGAGGAGAGGAATAGTCCTTGAAGTGTTAAATAGATCTTTAAGAATTTTTGAAAATTACATAGGAAGTGAGAGGGAATATCTCTACAGATATTTTGCCAAAATACTAGTAACATGTGAGAGTCATTCTCTGAAGACATAAAATTATGATCCAATTAAAACCAGATGATAGGGAAAAAAAGTCATTCTGAGTCTAGACTTAAGTTTAATGACTCAAATTCATATAAACTCAGTTAAATATGCTGACATAGGGTTTTTTTCATTAATTCAAGAATAAACATTGTGCTTGTGCTTGAAAGAAAAGTTCAATGTGTTATATTTTGCATACTTTTTCTGCTTTTTATTAAAATACAGAATGAGAAGTAAATGAAAAAATATTCTAAAGAAAAAGTATGTGAAAAAATGGAGCATGTGCTCTCTCTAAAGGACAATATTAAATCTCATATTATATTATAATATAATTTAATTATAAAGAAAAAATATTAAATACTCAGTTTATGGCTCTTGGTACATGCTGAATGGGATCTATAATTAATTTATTTTACAAGATGGTCCATACCTTTACAAGAAACTGTCATGTTCTCTTAAGTTCTGAGGATCTTAGCATATATTTATACAAAATTCAAATGCTATCAACCCTGCTTTGGTCAATGGAACTTTTCACAAAGCTTCATTTTGCAAAACTATTCTGATAATAATAGAGAGGAAAAGAGGGAGTCCCACTATAAGCTACAGAGCTATGTTCCAAAAGTTTCGTGGACATGAGCAGGAAAGACACATAAGGCTGTGTGTAAGTTTTATATTAGATGAAATAGGTTTTGTGTTTGGTTCTTGTAGCCAACAGACATAGCGCAATTGGTGTCCACACAAATAACCTCCCCTCCAACCAAAACATGTTGATGACATTCAAACAGCCTATTGGGAATGTTTTCAAACACATCACCCTTTAAAGCATTCCCAGACATGCTAGTTATCATGGTAATTTAGTAGTTTTGCTAGTTCTCTTGGACTAAATATACCAGAAACCAGGCTAACAGGTTAGCAATATGAATGATTACATATCAGTATCCTACTCTTTTTTAATTTTTGAAGACATAACTGTAAATATTAGATAACTAATACAAATTACTTAGTGGGGAGAAGCAAAACCACAGGGATCCTCAATGTTCAGGAGGTGATGATTTTAATACCTTATGTTGACTGGTAGCTTATACAAATTCCACTAAGTACAGCAGCAGCAAATGTAACTACAAGTCAGCAATACAACAACAAAACCCAGCTAATGACTACAGACAATTATAGCAACAGAACAATGAGTTAATCATAAATTAAACATGGCAATGAATATGTATGTATGTATGTATGTATATGTGTATGTATCTATCTACCTATCTTTGTAGCAATCCTATAAGGTAAGTAACAAAATTATATAAAAGGCAGAGGATATTTATAATAAACTCCATAGCACACAGTCATTTGCAGCATAGTATTCTGGTTATGAGTCACTCTTCAGCCATTGGCGCCTAGAAGTCACACTAAAAGCATGGAGAGATCCAGGTACATCCTGCCCAGTATGTCATGCTTATTGGAGAAAATGCTCACCTTTCTCAGCCCCTGGCACCTGCAACGCTGATTCTCTTCTGCTGACCCCACATTGATGAATTTCTGAGTTGTCTTTTATCTCCTTATAATACCATGACCCACTGACCACATGCATTCTCAGCTGTCCAGGCTGTCCTTCTGCTATTTTGCTGAATACATTCCAGTTCAAACACAAAGAGACTGGGGAGGCAGTTCTTTGAAACTGGCAGAGAGACAGTTCTTCTCTTTTCTTTTTTTACAGCTGTCTTAGCCATGAAGTTATTGCAATGTTCTATTCATTATGCTGTCTCAGCAGCTTGTTAGTTCAGCAATTCTGTTATAGTATACAGATATTTTAAGGCCCACCAGTCATGCTTACTCAGCAACTGTGTTAGCCTCTGTCCTACCTCAAGCAATGTCAGATGCAGTTTTGCAGAATTTAGCAAGAATTGTACTATTCAGTGCTCCAACCCCATGAACACAGAGGGAAAAGTGATATATTGTGTCCCATCTTTGCTCAGCAGTTGACTTCCCAGCAAAAACAAGATGTGCCAAGGTTTACTGGTCTGTATTGTAGTGGCTTCAGCCACTACAACTCCTTTGTCAAAAAATCAGGATCCCCTTTGCCATTTTGGATTTTCTCTTGCAGCTATCCAGTCTTATCATTTGAGTTTCAGGTCTGTTCAAGCATAGCCAAGAAAACAATTCTTAATCAATACCTTTCTGGGTCACTGGAACTCCTTGTCAGCAAATATGTTTCAGGACTGCAGGAAAGTCATCATGGTCTTTTCCCTTTCCCTGTATGATATTAGCCTTTGCCACTCTGAGACACATAATGACCACTTGATAACCTTATTTCAAAACCATGCGCAAATACCGTTGCCACTTCTGAGGTAGGTGAGAGTGATCTGTTTCTGCATAGAGAAATCTCTGCAACTCCAAGTGAAGATGATGGGAAGACATATTACTTACCAGTGACTACAGTGCTACACAGGCTCCACACAATGACCAAATATGTTGCCGTATGGTCAACACCCAGGAAATTCTTCCCTATCCTGAAGGATTTGTTTACTGTTTGATCAAAGGCTGGAGTAGGGCAAAGAGCAGATGGTGGCTTCGGTGGCTGCAGTGTGACAGCACCAGGATTAGCCCCGGTGTAAACAAGCAGAGTGACAAGCCAAGAGGAGGAGGATTTGGTTGACAAAAAGCATTTCCACAGGTCACCTGCTGTAAAAATAGCATATGGTTAAGGAGATTGCAGACTGCTCTTTAGATTTAACATGGTC